AGATACAATGTACTTTGATCAAATTCACCCTCTCTATCACTCTTTTTTATCCTTTCTCCCCATTTTGACAACTTTTAACCAGTTACATTATCCTATTTTCATACATATATAAGAAGAACTTTGCTCATCTTTGCACTGCCTTTACATGTTCCTTTCCTTTTCTTCTCTGCTCTGGTTCTTAGCCCCTAACAGTTCCCATATTTTGCACTCATGCTATGTTCATTTCTTTTTCTTTTTCGCCTAAGTTCCACAGATGTGAGAAAATATTTGATATGCTTGATATCTATCTTCCTCTTTTTTGATATCTGGCTTATTTCAATTACAATGTGATGATTTTCACTGCTAGACACTTTCTGCAAATAACATAATTTTATAGTGGTGTAGCTCTGGATTTCTGCATGTGCATGGTCCAGTTTTCCCAAAGCCATTTGTGGAAGAGGCTTCCTTTTCTTCAGTGGATGTTTTTTTCTTTTTGTTTGTACATTTTTAATTGTAAAAATGTTGTACAGAGTGGTTACAGTTACATGAGCAAGGTAATAAGTGCATTTCCTATTGAGCATTGTTGTCTCCTCCTTTGTTTTCCCCTTACCATCCTTTCCCTTCCCCCTCCACAACTATCCCCTCCGGCCTGGGTTGTAAAGTTCATTTTCAACATAGTGTCTTGTATATCTCATTGTTACAATGGGTCAACCTGTATCCTTATTTAAGCATTTTGTTTTTTCCTTTCCCCTCCCCAAATTACAGAAGTGTATATACAAGAGGTAAGCACTGACATCAAATACAGTGAAAGTAGGGGTTATACTGTGGGGGAGGAACATACAAAGCAACAAAAAATCACATGGTACATTATAAATACATTAGAAATACAAGAAGGAAAAAAGATACTTATGTCCCTATCTTAGGGTTCATTTCGTTTAACATCATCTTATCTGGTCATATGTACACAGAATCAACTCCAAATGGATAAAAGACCTCGGAGTCAAAGCAAACACCCTGAAAACATTACAGAAAGGCATAGGAGAAACCATAAGGCTCCTTGGCACAGGCCAAAATTTTCTTAATAGAGACACAACTAATCAAAGAATTGTTGGACAAATGGGATTGCATGAAACTGCAAAGCTTCTACATGGGAAAGGACATTGCTAGCAAGATCAATAGAAAGCCCACAGATTGGGAGATCTTCACTACCCATACAACAGATAAAGGTCGCATATCTAAAATATACTTGGAACTCAAAAAATTAACCTCCCCCAACAACAAATCCTCAAAGAAACAACTGCCCACTTAATAAGTGGGCTACAGATGTAAAGGGAAACTTCTCTGAAGAGGAAATAAGAATGGCCAATAGACACATGAAGAAATGATCAACTTCTTTAGCCATAAATGAAATGCAAGTCAAAAAACATTGAGGTTCTACTTCACCCCAGTTAGAATGGGTATAATCAAGAACTCTAATAACAACAGATGCTGGAGGGGATGTGGCCAGAAGGGAACCCTACTGCATTGTTGGTGGGTGTGTAAACTTGTTCAACCACTTTGGAAAACAGTGTGGAGGTTCCTGAAAAGACTCCACATAGAGCTCCCCTATGACCCAGCAATCCCATTTTTGGGCATTTACCCAAATGCTCACAAACAAGGCCTTACTAAGGCTACCAGCACAACTATGTTTATTGCAGCATTATATCTACCATAGCTAAGATCTGGAACCAACCCAGATGCCCCTCAGTAGATGAATGGATCAAGAAAATGTGGTATATTTACACAGTGGAATTCTATGCCTCCATCAGAAAGAATGACATTGCCGCTTTTGTTAGGAAATGGAAAGACTTGGAAAAAAATTATATTAAGTGAAGTAAGTCAGGTCCAAAGAAACATAGGTCCCATGGTTTCCCTTATTTGCAGTAACTAGTACATGTGTAGGACAAGCAGAAAAGGCCAAAACCTATGGTTTTGGTTCTGTTGTTGAAAGTTAGATGGCAATAGCTGTATGGGCTCATTTCTCCATCCTCTACTCCTTTCCATTGGTCTGTACATCTGTTGTTGTGCATATTCCATACAGCTTGTTACTGTTGCTCTACAGTATAACTTAAAGTCATGTTGATACCTCTAAGCATTGGTCTTTTGCTCAGGGTTGAGTTATTCTCACTAAGCTATCTAATGTCTTCTCTCAAATGAGATATAATGTCATTGTTATTTTGGTTTGCATTTTCTCTATGGCTGAAAATGCTGAACATATTTCATGTATTTGTTGTTCAATTGTAGTATTGTTCATTTGAAAAATGATCAGTTCCAACACCCATTTATTGGTGGGAATATGTTGCTCGTTTTTTGTTGTTGTTGTTGTTCTTTCTATGTTTTAGATATGGGTCCTCTGTCAGAGAAATCTAGCAAAGATTTTGTCACATGCCATAAGCTGTCATGACTCTTCATTCTATTGCTTCTTTTGTTATATAGAAGCTTTTTAGTTTGAAGAAATACCATTTGTTGTTTCTTCCTATTAGTTCTTGAGTTAATGGTGTCCTATTCATAAAGTTGCTTCTTATGCCTAGATATTGCAGTGCTTCTTTTATGTTTTCTCCCAGTAGTTTCAGAGTTTCAGGTTTTAATGTCAAGGGCTTTGATTCATTTTGAGTTGACAGGGTGATATAGGGAAATCTAGTTTCAGTGGTATCCACTTTTCCTGGTATCACTTGTTAACAAGGTTTGTGTATGCATTTTCTCACTTCTGATAAGCTTCATTATATTTTATAAGAACTGCATGCTAGGCACTGGAGCTCCAGCATCATAATATTAAAAATCAAATTGTATAGGCATACGCTTGATCAAACATTTTAAAGATCTCTACAGTAAAAATTACAAAGAACTGAAAAAAGAGTTTTAGAAGAGGAAAAGACATCCCATGTTTATGAATTAGCACAAAAAATTATTGAAAGGACATGTTACTAAAAGTACTAACCATATGTGTTTCTGGACTACCTATATTGGCTTATTGGTCTATGTGATTGTTGTTTGACAATACCAAACTTCTTTAGTTACTATAGTCCTGTAGTATAATTTGAAGTCTGGTAATATGATGCCTTTGGCTTTGTTCTGTTTATTCAGAAATGTTTTTGGCTGTTGAGTGTTTTTTGAGAATCCATATGAATTTTAGGACCATTTTTCCAATTTGATGAGGAACGTTATGGAGATTTTGTTGGGGACTGAGTTGAATTTGCATGCCACTTTTGGCAATATGCCATTTTTTGCAGCAATGTTTAGTTGCCAGTTCATGGACTTTGGAAAACTTTTAATCTAATGGCTCTCAAATTTCTTTCTTCAGTGCTTTGTAGTTTTCATCATAATGATCTTTGTCATTTTTATGTGTATGCTGAGGTATTTTACTTCTGTGAGAACTTCAGTTTCACTGAATTTATTGATATATCTTAAAGAGTATTTTTTTTTTGTATGGTGATGTTGTATCCTGATTATTTGCTTACATTGTTTTAGCAGATGTAAAAGTCTTCTTTATGGTGTTTTAAGTATAGGATCATATCTTAATATTCACTTATTCCTTTCTTATTTCTATCTATTTTATTAATTTTTCTAGCCATGGTAAATCATCGTGCCAATAGTGGACAGCCTAATATTATCCCTGATTTTAGGGTAAAAGGCTTTCAGTTTTCTTCTACTGAGTATAATACTAGCTATAGTTCTAGCTTATATAGCTTTAATTATGTTGAGATATGAACATTTTACTTCTATTTCTTCAGTACCTTTGTCATGTTGTGTTTACTAAAAGCTTTCTTTAAATAGAGGTAATTAATCCCCATTCTAGAGCATTTGGGATGTTTCTATAAGCTGACTATCGTGAATAGTGCAGCAATGAACATGGAGTTGCGAATGTCTTTACTGCATCCTGACTTGTAATGCTATGGTAGATGCCCAAGGGTACTATCACTGGATCATAGGGTAGTTCTCTGTTTACAGTTTTGAGGAATCTCCAGAACCCCTTCCAGAGTGTTTGGAATAGTTTGCATTCCACAGCAGCTCAATGGAGCTCCTTTTGCTTTGTATCCTGCACTTGTTCCAGTTCTTTATGCTGGCCAGTCTTACTGTCATTACTGCATTTCTTTTATGGTGGGCAATATTGAACACTTCCCATGTTTTTACTAATGATCCATAAACACACGAGGAAATGTTTTTTGTAGCTCATTGTCTTTTTATTAATTTGATTATTCATTTATGGGGGTAATTACTTGAGCTTCTTGTATATTGTAGATATAGGCTCTTGTAGGATATATAGCTTGAAAATATCTTCTCCATCCTGTAGGCTGTCTTTTTTGCTTAGTAATGATGTCCTTTGCAATGCATAAACTTTAGTTTGATGTAATTTCATTTGTCAATTCTCTCTTCAATTTGCTGAGCACCTGGCATTTTCTACTTATAAAGTTCCTGCCTATACCAATAACTTTGAATATTTCTCCTACTCTTTCCTATAGTTGATTCAAAGTTCCAAGTTTGACATTGAGGTCTTTGATCCATTTTGAGTTGGTATTAGTGCAAGATATTAGATAGGGATCCAATCCCAATCTTCTACATAAGGATGTAGTTCCCAGTTTTCCTTACACATAGTAAAGAGGCTATCTTTTTTCCAACAATATATGTTTGACTTTCTTATCAAATATAGGTTAATTTCTGAGTTTTTCAGCCTATACCATTGGTGTTCAGGCCTGTTTTTGTGTGAGTTTTTGTGTGTGTATGTGTGTAAGCTGTTTTGTGTAAGTTGTTTTTGTTATTATATTTTTGTAGAAAAGTTTGAGGGCTGCAGTTGTGATTCCTCCCACATTGCTTTTCCACCAGCAGATTTGCTTTGATTGTTTATGGCCTTTTTTGTTTGTTTTGTGTGTGTGTGTGTGTGTGTGTGTGTGTGTGTGTGTGTGTGTGTCTGTGTCTGTGTATATGTGTGTGTCTGTGTCTGTGTCTGTGTTTGTGTCTGTGTGACTTTTTAGGTTATTTTTTAGGTTGGTGAAGAACAACATGAGGATTTTGAAGGAAATTACATTGAATCTGTAGATGGACTTCGACAGTATTTCCATTTTCATGATACTAATTCTGCCTCTCCGTGAATTCTATGGGAGGTCTTTCCACTTTCTAATGTCTTCTTTGATTTTTTTTTCTTTAGAGTTTTATAGATTTTGCTATGGAGGACCTTCACTGTCTTGGATAGGCTTATTCCTAGTTGTTGTTGTTGTTTGAGGCTATTTTAAATGGAATTACTTTTCTGATTTCCCTCTCTATCTGTTCATTGTTGGTATACAGAAAAACTATGGATTTTTCTGGGTTAATATTATATACTGCTATTTTGCCAGTGATTAATCAGCTCTAGGACCTTGGGGTTATAGTCTGTAGAATTCTTTAGATATATGATCCTATTATCTATAAATAGGGATAGTTTAAACTCTTCTTTCCCTATTTGGATCCTTTTTATGTCTTTCTCTTGCATCTGCTTGTTCTTGAGTCCAGTTGTAATTCTGCTTTATGAGTTTCTCATTCTTTGGTCTCTTCCCCTTTCTTCACTTTGGCCTAATGATTTCACTGACTGAGTTATCTCTCCCCTGCTCTCTCTCCTTTGTTTCTTCCTTGCTCCTCTATTTTAAATGACTCTTTTTCAAAACTGAAACATACTACGTGTTTTCTGAGACTCCCTTCTTTCTTTCTTTTACTCAGGCCACACCCCCTGCAGATACACATACTCTTTACTCCACACGTGTCACTCCCATTTTTGTTGCAGTTTTTCTCATGCTGTGTTCTGCTTCTAGAATTTACTATCATTTTAAAATATGGATCTGTATGTTTGACACTGAAATTTCAGTGTCTTCCTGACATCATGGGTCTGGAAGGGTATCAGTTGTTCACACAGAGATTCCTGTTACCTTTTTATCTGAAAAATTTCCTGATGCATATTTTTTACATTCTAGAAGAAACAATAGGCATCAATATTTCTTTTTATTTATTTCTTTTAAGAAGTTTTCTGAAACTTAAAACATTCAGTGAGAAAACATTAAAAATCACTGGCGTACACTGTCAGTATTAGTGAATCTATTATTTGAGCAAATATATTAAATTATAATTTTAGGATCTTCATTCATTTTCTCACATACATTAGATGAAGCCATCCAGTATCTTATTCTGTGAAGGCCCTCCTTTTGCAATATGAATTGACTTGCTCAAGCAAAAATTATATTATAGCCTTTTATTTTTTCCTGTCCTTAGGCTTGAACACTAGTCCTGAGAGCTGTCCCTGAGCTTCTTTTGCTGAAAGCTATCTCTTACCACTTGAATGGTACCACTTGAGCCACTTCCAGCTTTTTCTGTGATTTAGTTGGAGATAAGACTCTCACAGACTTCCCTGCCCATGTTAGCTTTGAACTGTGATCCTCAGATGTCAGCCTCCTGGGTAGCTAGGGTTACAGGCTTGGACCAGCCGAGCCTGGTTTATTACAGCCTATTTTAAATGCTACCTAGCTTTTAGACATATCAATGACTTCTAAAAGCCTCATTTCTAAGAAGTTGAAAAGAACAGTAGTATGTTTATCCTTCAAAACCAAATCAGTCATTGAAGCTATGTACCAGCATACATTCAGCCAGAATTTAGGAGAGTAAGGTTTACAATCTCCTATGAGATCTAAGGGGGATGTTAAACATATAAAATTACCTTTTGCAACTTCTGCTTTGAAAGAAATGAACACAGATGTGAATATTTGGAAAATATTCTAAATATTTTCTTATAGAATACATCATATGATTAAGTCACAAAAGATGCAGAGTCAAGCAGACAGGGGACATTTCTTTTTCTAATTCTGATGCCTTATTGGCTTCTGTATCTATTTTTCATAACCTAAGATCTAGTTTCTGATATATGAAATAATATGAGGTGACATTTGGATTATCAGAATGTTTTCTTGGAACATGATTGTGATTCTTGCTTTTCCTGACACCTGGAGCTTCTTCTACACAGAAGCCTTGACTGGCCTTCAGTAGTATGTACTGAGAACGGTTGGTGGTTTACATAGATGATAGCATCTTATTTGGAAAGATGCTAATGAACAGCTCAGATTCTCTCAGAGTTCTTAAAAACTAGAATGTAAAAATAAGTATAGAACCATAATTAGAAATTATTATATTACACAGTAATATAAGTACTAGTTAATATATCATTAAAATTCAATTATTTTAATCTCATACTCTCTTCAATAATAAATAATATTATCAGAAACATGGATTCTAAAGTAATAGTGTGGTTACAACAATTTTCATCCCTTAATATAAATCATGTACTTTTAATTTGTATGGAAGATACTATACAAGCAGATGATTAATATCTAGGTTTGAATTCAGCACCCTTGCTTGGCTTTCTGCTCAAAGCTTATTCTGTACCACTTGAGCTACACTTCTAGTCCAATATTTAGCTGGTTAATTGGAAATAGTGTCTCAAAGATTTTCTGTCCTAATAAGATCCTCCAAGTTTCAACATTCTGAGTAGCTAGGATGATAAGCATGACCCACGATTACCTATCTACTTTTTTTTAAATACGTTTTTTTATTGTGAAAATCCTGTACAGAGGGGTTATAGTTACATGAGCAAGGTAATGAGTACATTTCTTATCCAGCATTGTTGCCTCCTCCTCCTTTGTTTTCCCCTACCATCCCTTTTCCCTCCCACCTCCTCAACTACATGCTTCCTTCCCCCCCCCCAAATTGTAAAGTTCATTTTTTGACATAGTGTCTTGTACATCTCATTGTTGCAATGGTTAATCTGTATCCCTGTTTAAACATTTATCTACTTTTAATTTAATGTGTTCACTGATTTTCAATTCCCCCACTTCTTTGGTAAGCTGTTAACACATCATCATAGAGTCGTTATTCTTTATTTGTTTTCCTTAGAGGATTCCTACATGATCCACACCACTTAGTCAACACGGTAACTTCTGACATCTTGAAATTGCTTTATATAATATAATCTTCATAACCACTGCTATTTTCTTAACTTCTGCTCCCATTCCTCCATAATTCAAACAGCTGTACATAGAGTCTAGTAATTTTCAACAAATATTTTCTCTCCTATTCTTTGGTTTCTTATGTATTCCTCTTTAATGAAGACAGCAGCTGCTATGGTTAGTAACTATGTAGGTTAATAGATGCAGTGCAAATTTTGTTTTGTCTTTTTGCTAATGTCATGATTGTGGTAAGTTAATATTTGTCACAGTTACTCACTTTCCTTATTTATAAAAAATAGGTGTACACAATTATTTTGAAATTTTTGGAAGTAAAACAGTACTGTCTTGGAAAGTGGTATTTCATTAAAATAAAAAAGTAATAACAGACATGTTTCCCTATCTGTAACCCTTATGTTGTGTATTTTCGGAACTCAGAATTTTTTTTTATATTCCCCACATTCCTAAGTATATCTCCAATAGGATGCAAGTCAGCCTATCAGCAATTAAGAATGAAAGAAAGGCTGGGTACTGGTAGCTCATACCTGTAATCCTAGCTACTCAGAAGGCTGAGATAAACGTCCCTTGTGCACTCGTGTGTGTGTGTGTGTGTGTGTGTGTGTGTGTGTGTGTTTCTGCCCTAGCCTTGAACTTAAGGCCTGGGGTCTGTCTCAGAACTCTTTTACTCAAGGATAAAACTCTACCACCTGAGCCACAGCTCCAATTCTCCCTTTTGAATACCAGTGTGTTGAAGAGACTCATAGACTTTCCTGCTTGAGTTGTGTGATCCTCTCATCTCAGTAACTAGTATTATAGGCATGAGCCACCAGCACTTGGCTTCCCTGAGACTCTTATCCCCAATTAACTTCTAAAAAAAAACTGGAAGTGGAGCTGTGGCTCAAGTGGTAACCTTGAGCAGAAAATCTCAGAGACAGTGTCCAGGCCCTGAGTTCAAGCCCAAGGGTTGACAAAAAAGAAAAAAGAAATTACTGAATAAGAATTCAGTAAGTATTCAGTATAAATAATTATACAGAAATAGTAGCATCCTATCATTTATCTCCCTTCAGCAAAGTTAGATATGGTAAAATAAATTATGGAATATTCATCATTGAAGCTATTTTTTTAATTGTGAATAAAGGAATTTTTTATATGGAGCCACATTGTGTGTGTGTGTGTGTGTGTGTGTGTGTGTGTGTTTTCTTTGTGCTACCTTCTTTACTAAAACTGATTCTCTACCTGTCCCCTTCAGACTTATTCTGACAATAGAGAGAAAAAGAAAGACCTA